TTTTTTGTCATTTATACTTCCGCAGTTGAAGAAGGAGATTTTGTATTTAACCTTTTAACTGTCATGCCCGAAATAATCTCAGGCTCAGCACTGGTGTTCCAAAATGTCACGTCCAAGTATTACTCGAGGTAATATTTTTTTAATAGTGCATACAGAAAACTATATGTGCATCGTATTGTTATACCCAAATATAAATTGTGAGAAATTTATTTCGGCTTCAATTCAATACACAGCAGCACTTTATTGAAGGTTTCAAAGTATAGAGGTTCATGTTCAAAGCGTGCGGCATTTTTTTTTATTGCACGCACGGCAAACATCCGATTTTTGCAATAAAAAATAATTACGACTTATGCACCCAAATCATCAAAATAACTTGACAGTTAAAGGGTAAAACCTTCAAAACTAGTTCTACAAATGAATATTATGCTTATTCCTGTTTCTTGATATCTCCAATAATCATTATTTGGCATGTTAACTCAGCTTAAATGCATAGTAAATTACTGTCTAACGTTGGTAACATAAACTGTCTATATAAACCACAGAAGCATATAACAAACTATATAATTTCACATACACATGTATGTGTGTGCATTGTCACATACAGTATTCTGTATACACTATTAAGGCAGGTTTGAATTTAACCAATATTTCAACTTCACATAACTTCTTCTCAGGAACCCAACTAGTTAATAATTAAAGGAGCACCTATATTACTAAATAAAAGCACTAATAATTTTCAGAACATATTTTAGAACTGAATTAGGAACTATGAAAAGATACTGATACTTTCTTCCAGCACTATTAAAAAAAGTAGTAAAAAATAATAAAACTGGTTTTTGTGAAAAACAACAAAAACACATTTTAATACAACAAATACTGAAACAAGATATTTTATGTACATAAAATTTCAATATAAATAACACTAACAGCATCAATTAAAAGTTCATTATACATTTTAACATGATTCATTGAACTAATATTGATCTGAATATACAGAAATAGCAATACTGATTAATATTTTTATAAATTGAGGGATAAATGTTGACTTTAACAATATTTAGAACAGAAAGAGTACTCATTTAATAAACAATGCATTCTAACTGAGAAAGAATAAAATCACTAACTGATCTAAATTAAGAACAATTTCTAATATTTTTTATTTAAATTGATTAGTGAAGTAGAGAACATTATCACTGTCATAAAACTAGTAATGCTGTGAAATGTTAAGTTTTATAAGCAAATTCCAGTATCATAAACATTCATTACTGTGGTAAAGAAAAAATGTCATACAGCAGAAATGTTTTCACACATAAAATGAATGCAATAATAATTAAAAGATTAATTTGCAAATTATGCTTTAGAAATCATCTGTTTTAAAACTTTGCCACAGAAAAATATCACCACTCATTATTAAAATACAAATTGTGCAAAATATGTACTGTGCGACAAAAGTGTTTACATCGTGCTAGTGTATATTCAAGTTTATTTAAAAATCTGTAAAAAAATATAATGTAAAATTAGATAAAAAGGTACAATATATTGCACTAAAATATCACAATATGCAAGAACAGCTCATCACAAATATTCTATAAAGAAAACTAAGAAGTTAAATAGCAACAGAATAACAAAAAAATATAGCAAATATAAGAAATAACAATATAAAAAAGAGAACACAATAAGTGCTTCAAATAAGTTTAAAATAATACTTTTGCTGAACCAGAATAACAACAGAATACAAAAGAAGAAAACATACAGGAACAAAGCCTCAAATAAATTAACAAGCAATTTTAACATATAAATGATGTGTATAAAATATTTGAAATAGTGCAAGATGTATGGAATACTGATAATAATCTCGATATATAAAAAACAGATTATAATACACAATTTTATAATTCTATGAGTTTTTTTTTAATTGTGGAATAAATACTATATCCTAAAATACTTCTGATTATCTTCATAATTTCATTCTTATTAAATTATTGCTATAGGTAGTATTAAATGGATATTTTAAAAATCATTTTATGGTAAAAGTATGTTTTAATATGGCCTTTCACATATAATAAAAAATTATCCCTCTTGTAATAATGATATGCATCAAAGAATCAAATTTCAGATACAATGCTAAAACAAATCCTCTTTGTTGAAAACTTAAATTTATTTTTGTGTCAGAAATTGACATGACAGCTTTGTTACAGATCTTTAAACTGCCATTAAGCTGGATACTTAAAACAGTAAATGCAATGTTTGCTTCACAAAATTTTGCAGGTTTACCTTTTCTTATGGCAATAAATGGAATGCATTAGCATCTATTGCCAAAGGCATATCATGGCTTATTGTTCTTAATGATGGAGTGCTTCATTAATTTCATGGCCAGTTCTGATTGGTTTGCCAATTTATGAAATTCTTTTATTGATAGATTATTTGATTTTTTAAGGTTGATTTTTTACAGTTACATGTTATTTTTATGTGTTACCTAACACGTTATTTTTATGTTAATTCTGTTCTATATCTTCTACTTCTTCCTTCACTAAAATGTATATTCACATGAATTTAAATATCTTAATGACTTGAGAAGACTAAATATTTGTCTCTAACTATGACTCTATATATTTATCAATAATTTAGAGAGTACTGCAGCCATTACACTAATCAGCATGTTATACTAAGACCACACAAGTTCTCTACTTAGCCCAGATGTGTAATGATGAATGAATTTTGTATTTGTTTCAGTGAAGGATTTGAATGTCATCTGTCAGATGGAAGCTAACAAATGAAAGTTAGATTTTGTACTTTACTGTTTTATATATCCTATTAAATTTGGATGCTTTTCGTCAGACCCGAATTAACAAGTAAAAATTAAATTGTGCACTTTCTGAAACCCCGTAAACAGCTGCAGCTAATACTTGTTAATTTTTAGCTGTCCTATAAGACACAGTTTTAATAAACCTTACCTTTCCAGCTGCTGCTTTTATTAATTTTTAAATTAGATGGCTAAGAAGGATTTATGAATGTACCTGTCATCATTTATCTACAGTACAGCTTTCACAGAATTCCCATAGTATTGACAATTTAGTGATTTATTTTAACCAAAGTGAATGTCCTTTTACAAGCAAAATGATAGTACCTTGCTTTTGAAAACTGCATATTCTTTAATCTACTTCAAATGTCTTTTTTAATTAATATGAAATAAAATAAAAAGTTATCTATTAAGTTATCTATAAAATATTAGATTTTAAATTCCTAAATTTTGCTTTTACTTTTTTCAATACTAAATTATTTTCTATTTCTATTTTTTTATTAAAGCTAACAAATCCATGCAATATAATATGTTATCTAAGGTAGTATTACAAGGCAACATCATTAACAGCCAATAAAAGTTTGAATTTGTTGTATGGATGTGTTCAAATAATGTATAATTCATCGCATCTTATTTTATAAACTATGGGAAATATTAAAATAAGTTCTATATAACTGTGTTCAACATTTGAATTAATACTGCATTCAATAATAATACAAATTTCAAAACAGGAAATTTGTTATTATTAATAAAGTGCATAAAACTACCCTGAAAATAATAAGTCCTGCTGTGTTTTAAATTTTTAGGTCCTGCTGTGTTTTTTTTTTTTTTAATTTTTAGTTTTTTTAAGAAAATTTATTTTTAGGTTTTTATCACTGGCATAAAATAATATTTTCCTTACAATTAATTTATCTAATTTGCTGACTACACTATTTTCCCTGGCCAATGGTACTTAGTTAAAGTTACAAAGCTAAAGCATAATGAATAAAAATATAATCCGTTTTTTATTTCAGATAGCTTTTTGCATTAAAAAGTACAGACCAAGAATACAAAATACTATGGCATGCATAATAAAACTATTTTCAGTTATTTAAAATTGAACTTTTCTCATGTATAATAAAACTATTTTCATATTTTCAGTTATTTAGAATTGAACTTTTCTCATGTATAACAAATTTGAAACAAGTTTCTTTCAACAAACTGTCTGAAATTACCAAAATCAGTTTTGAAGTTTTATTACTGAATATTCTATGAGTTAATAAACAGATACAGTCAAAAGTCTTTAATCCGGACTCGTCGGGACTTCAGTGATTCCGAATTATCGATTTTTCCGGATTATAGATCATCAGTTTAAATCTGGTAAGATGGCATGCAGAAATTATAAAATTAAAAATATGAAACCGTAATTTATAAAATAATGAGCAATTATGATCTAAAGGGTATCAAAATTTACAAAAAAAAACTTAATATTTATTTGTTTACTTTATTAAACATTTCTTTCAACGCGCGCATACGTAAAGTATACATTATGCATAGCCGAAATTAGAAAATTGCAACCAGAAAACTATTTGATTTGTATTCATGATATTTATAATGACGAGGAATTTGATTTAAATCATATCAAAGACGAAGTACATCAAGATGAAATACTACATTTAATAAGGAATTATAAGCCGAATAAAATAAAAACATCTGCCCTGAAGATAACGATAGTGTTGACAAATCAACTTCCAGTTCATTGTGCGCCCGCCGCCAAGTTCCCCCCCCCCCCCGTGCAGAGCAGCGTGAAATTGATAAACAGATTTCGGAACGGTTAGATAAACAAAGGATATGCCTTTATCCATTTTTTGTTTGATGGACATCGAAACATACTTTCGTTTTCATAGATCCTTTGGGAGCTCCAGCATCGGAAATTCTATTTGACATAATCGGAAGTTCAAGCTTACTTTTATAAAATTGCTCTTACAGTCAGCAAAAAATAATAAGCCGGATCTTATTCGAAGATTAATGCACAACGCAATCATCAACATTAACTGAAATAGACAATTAGATAATTTTAGCTTATACCGTCCGTTATACATTAAACGTGCAGCGAAAATGTATTCTGCGCTTGTGCACACGCAAATGCGCAGTCGTAAAGGTCTTACGCGCACACTTAAATGCCTATGCGCATGCGTCACTGCGGCGCATGCGCAGAAAGTTTTTAGCTTTGAGGTCCGGATTATAGATCATTCCGGATTATGGGTGTCCGAATTTACGACTTTTGACTGTATATGAAATTTAGTTCAATATATCAATGTATATATATATGTAACATTTGCAGCAGATTGGCATTGGAAATGATAAAGCTTAGCAATCTGGTCACATCAGAGTCTGGGTGTGGTCGCTGTGGAGTGGAAAACAGTAGAAATGATGACACCGAAAGATTTCACTTTTTAAAACTCCATATCTTTATTCACTTAAAATGGCAGATTTCTTTTAGATTTTCCCAGATTGCATATGTGATAGTAATTTAGACTAAATGCGATTAACTTTAACTTTACTGTGTCATACTATTCAAACAAAGAAGACAGACTGGAAGAGTGGCAGCGAAAGTGTTTTACAGCAGCAGGCAGAGAAACAATCTGACGGAAACTGGCTCGAACTCTTCATTTATCGCAGCAATTATGTAACATGCCAGAATTTTCTCGAAAGTATTGGTCTAGGAGGAAGATCCTGAAATTGTGGAAAGTTAATTAGAGGTTGCCTACTCGCGTAGAGCAAAGCCATCATATTTTTTATATTTTACACGCACACAAACACACATATATGTGTGTGTGTGTATGCGACTTGAACTCGATTCAGCGTGCAAGCAGTGCCTTTAGGTGCCAAATTTTAGCACAGCAAATTCCTTCCAGGACCCTCCAGAAGCTGAAAAGTGCACTTTTAGAAGAGTAGAATGCAATTCCACAAGACTGTAAAATCTATGAAATCAAGATGTGGTATGCATATTTGTCTGAGGTGACCAACACAGTATTAAAGAAAAAATTTTTTGAATGAGAAATGATTTGATTTTTCTCCCATTTTCCAGTTTCCATAAATTTAGTTTTAATTTCAATATTTTGTTGCTAAACATTGAAATTTATGTTAACTAATGCTTTTGTATATATTTCTATTAATCCTTTAATTTTGATGTAAAAATGTAATGTAAAAATGAAGGATTTTAAAAGACAATTCATAATTCCTTTACAGTTGTAAGGTTTATTTATATAATTAACCAGTTATTTAATGTTTAGCATCTTTACTGTCACTTTTCTCTTTCTGTTTCCTGCTGAAATGCAAATTAGCTCACCTGCATCTAAGTGAAAGTTTGAGATTGTTTCAGAATGTGTTCTGCCTGCTGATGGCCACATTACTATTTGCTATTCTAAGATAAGAGTTTCCGTCTACAGCATTGCTTTATTTTTGCCGATAGTGCTGTCAGGAAGGTGTAGGCTTAAGAACCAACTTCAGCATTTAAATATTTTTGCATAGCCTTTGGCTAACAGTTACTTAAGAGTTCATTTTAATTTAAATTTCTACTTTTGAGTTCACACATAAATACTGACTGATTTGTAGACACAAGATGTGCCTTCTGTTCACTTACTCAGCTTTCAGTAAAGTGCCTTTCACACCCTTCTTAGTTTTGTTTCATATTAGACATAGAAATAAGTCGCTTACATGCCAGTTGGTGGATTTGCCACAAGTTATGTTTAGTTATGGGCACAATCGTTACACTGTATTAGTAATACTAAAAGAATTAATAAGTGTATAAAATAATAATGGTATTTTTATTTTTTTACAAATGCATAATTACTTAGTTGTTTCAAAATGCCACTGATAGCTGTTGTAAATTTAGATGCACAAACAGATCTAAAACCCATTTATATACGTATTTATTTTGAAAGAAAAAATTATTGTGACAAAAGTCAACTAGTTTTATTACTACATCATTTTTTGAAGCAAACAATATCCCCCACCTTCATAATATAAAATAGTTTAAGATGACAATATAATTACTAATAAATAATTTTACTTCTGACACAACTTTCATTTCTATGTTTTGCTAGGTTTAATGTTAGCGTGCTTTCTTTTTTATAAAAAACAATTTGTCACTATAAAATGTGAACAGTTACAAAAGTAACATACATAAAAAATAATTTAATTACAACTAAAGAAATTACAGAATGAAAAAATAATAATCAAATTAGGATCTCTTCTACAAAATACAGAAAATAAATAACTAATTCAAGAGAATAAAAATATCAGTCACAAATAAACTCCCCCACTCAAACTTTTCCACTAAAACCTCATAGAATTTAAAGCAATGTTATAATAAAAGTATAAAAACACCTTTGTTAACAAAAGTATGTAGAGCAATATCATAAATAAAATACTATAAAGAATTTCATAAATGAAAAATTCTCAAGTTATATAATAAAACAACATTTTTACATTTTAATAAACTATAACTGTATCATTTGCCTACATATTAATGTAACTTAACATAAAATTCTAAGGGGAAAAAAAAAAGCATCACATTGTTTTACAAAAATATATTGGAGAGAAAAAGATAAATGCAGAACAATTAATTAAATCTTGAATTAACACATTCTTCTATATCCATTACATTCTGAAGTTGATAATTAATAAAATTGGAAATCAATTTCTAAGTTTATGATATTGTTTGCTATTTAATATTATAAATACATTTAAAAACATTTTTTAAGTGCTACATAAAAAAAATAATCATATGTTCATTTATAATGATTTTGCCTGATTTGAAATTTTTGTATCCAATAACTATCCAAATTAGTACTAATGTTTTTTAATAAAAATTATTACTAATAGTTCAATTTTTCAGAAAAATGCTACACTGCACAGCAGAATTTGTAACATAAATCAAAAATATATATGAAAATTTTAATTTATGTAAAATTACAAAATATAAAGAAATAAATTTATAACTTACATATGTATGACTAGGAAAATCTCATGTGAACCTTATACAACAGTTAAAATGCATATATATATATATTGGTATGTGAAATTGCACATGTTATAAAACCACTACCATAAGACATTTTTTCAGTCAAGTTTTCCGAAACCTACCTGAAACATGCAAATTTTGATAGAAATTTCTGTTTTAAAAACCCCCAATTAAGGCTTTAAAAAAAAAAATCTTTTTTAATACTTTATAACAAGACAACAGTTTTCAACCATGATTTCCAAAAAATTCATAAAGGCACAAATAATTAGTTGAACCTACTTAAAATGACTTATAATTATTCAAAGCGTAAATGAAGATACACTAATATGTTACTATTTAGTGTATCTTCATTTACGCTTTGAATAATTAAAGATCCTTTAAAAATGAAATATGTAGCAAAACAAATATATTCAGTTATATTTAAATATAAAATCACATTTTCTTCTCTTGTACATAAAGTACAAATGCTGTACATGGTACACAGATTCAAAATAAATACTTTCACTATTATATATAAGACGTTTATTAACATTTGGATGTTTAATTAAAAGTAAAACAAAACAAAAAATCATTATGATAATATAAAGGTTATTTTGAATGCTTATATAGAGAAACGTAAATTTACCAATCCTTTTATCTTTTTTAATTAAAATGCACAGTTTAAACAAGAACATAAAAGCAACCATTTTTCAAAAATGCAGAATGATAGATGAGCATATACTATATGACTAATATATATACTATAAATAAAGCATATACTATAAATAAAGAATAACATACAGCAATGTAAATATATTACAGTGAAATAATTACACATAAATGTAAAACTTAAGCAATTATTCATGTGTATGGATGATAATCATTTATGGATATTTCCATAAAATACATGAATAAATAAAAAAATTCGGCCATCTTTAAATCCCTTAAAGCTGACTGCACATGTGCCTTCTTATTTAATGGACAACAATAACCACATTTAGAAACAAAATTGCTTCTTAAAAAGCAAATATATACACAATTTTAAAAAAATCACAATATTGCTGCTACTCTAAATAAATTAAAACAAAAGCACAGCAAAATAAATATGACTAATTCCAACCCTGAGTCAAACAAAACATAACTAATTTAGTTTCATGTATAACCACTTCTATCTACACTTTTATAGAAAAAGTAATCTTACATAAGCTTGCAAGTTGAAAGCACACTATCAATAACATTCTGGAAAAAAAAAAAAAAAAAAAAAAAAAGCAGCAATCTGCAGTCCTGATATTTACAGACATGAAATCACTTCAAGTTGGGCAAAATACTACAAAAAGAAAAATTATAAGATAAAACAAATCAATCAAATAATAAGCTACATTAAAATATTCAACAGAACAACAGTAAGTTACAGATAATAAATGAGAGGTTATTTGCATATTATATTTCTGCCTTAAAATAATTGCTCATTCCAGAATTTTTTACCAGACTAAAAAAACCAGGGCCATGAGAAATTCTGGCATTCTTCCAACTTTTTAAATTCAAAACATTGCATACATGTTATTTACATTTACTGATACATTTTAATATTTTATTTAAAAAAAAAAAAATACAGATGTAAATTTCTACAAGTTGTAAATTTAAACACAACTTCTATTTGTATGTTATAGAATATATTCTGGCTCATAAAAATTAGTATTTTTATAGTTAAAAATGCAGGTACTTAGTATTATTGCATCAAAACAATCACCAAGCAGGGTGATTTACTGTCAGTTAGGGATACGAGTAGCATAAGAAAACATGCATAACATATGTGCTTTGGTTTGATGTAACCTGATTGATCCTTTATCATTTATACGCTGTGTTTTATTTGTATGAATTACAATTAGCTGCTATTGATACATTTTTTAACCTTGCAAAACAAATGATAACCTTTGTAAAACAAATGATTAAATTTTGGGAGTTCCCTTGTACAGAACAGGAAGCAATGGATTATTTTTCAAATTGATGAGACTCTATCATAAAAAAATACATATTAATGGATATGATGCGGTCACAAACTTATTGGCCATTTTGGAGAGCATTTGCAATTTTTTTTTCTGATTAATTTTTCATTAAGCTAATGTGAGAAAGGCAACCACCACTGGCAAAAAGTGGCATCAAATTAAGATTTTTATGAGTATTCAAGCAATAAGATTTTAAAACGAGAAACATTGGTAATAAAACACTCACTTGTTTTGAGAAGTCCTTCCTCCCCATTGTTATTTTCCTTATGTACACAGCGACAGAAAAGGATTTTTGGAAAAAAAAAAAAAAAAAAAAAAAAGAGGTAGGTAAGTGTTTTATTACCAATATTCCTCATTTTCTTTATTTAATTTTTTTAAATTTATTGATTGCTTTTGCTTTTGTATGTAGTTTTTAGTGTGCTACTATTTTAAAAATGGCTGTAATCTTTTGAGCATTTCCAATTTGGCCAAATGATTAGTCGCCAATGAGTTTGCAAATGCTCTCCAGACTTGGCAGCAAATTTGCGACGTTTTGGTGACAGAGCAGATATTCAGAAAGTACTGAAATAGCAAAATAATATCAGTAATTTATAAAATTATCCTGCTCATAATTTTTAACAATAATCATAAATAATTATCAAGACAATCTTTTTCTTTTATATTCACAACAAATAATTTTCATATAAAATAACTAACCTTTCAATATATAATCGGTCAGCAACGTAGGAACAGTCGGACTATCATCGTTGATTGCTTGCAATACTGAAAAATAATTAAAAAAAAAAAATAAAGTCCCAATTATATTTTTTAAAATTTAATTTTGTATTTTTTTTTCCGCTTCTTCTCCCAGTTTGATGCATAAGCATTTTTAAATTAAAAGCTATTTCAACTACTGAATACAAAAGTTTAAATTCTTTAACATTCATTTTCAACTGGAACTTATAATTTTCCCTTGCAAAACCTAACTCTATTACCCACCCACCTATCCACAGGTTGGAGATAAGAAAAGAAAAAAAAAATAATGTATCATAAAATTTTGATTTGGAGTCAAAATTCTTTATGAATTAAACTAACTGCGAAATTGTAGAATTCAAAATTAAAGTTAATCTTTCTTGAGTATTTGAATTCCTGATTATTTTTTCTCTGGTTCCTCAAGTTCCTGTTTAATTAAAATTCAATTATTACATACCTAAAAAACAAACTAAAGAGAGAGGCTTTAGTCTCTATTTATAAAAATTTATCTCCTAACCCCCAAAAGGAAAAAAAAAAAAAAAAAAAATACTGAATTATTATGAAAACATTCCAGTGCAATGAACAATGCTTTCAAGTTAAATGACAAATATTTAAAAAACCTATGTAAAAAGTTATAACTAATACCAACTCATGCCTCCTGCATGTTTACTAAATGAGGTATTTTAATCTAATAATTACGAGTTCATGAAAACATGCAGACAAGCATACATACTATTTACATAAATCAACCTGCCATATTTAGTAATGTCTTACAAATATGAAAGAAAACCTTGGCAAGTCTTTACATCATGCTACGCTTCCAGTTTGCCACAGATTTCTTCATAGAACTGATAATACTCATTGGAAGGATAGGTTACTGGAACATGGCAAAGCAAAGAAGCTATCTGCCTATGCAGAGGAATGCCTTTATGGAGAACTTTATCAAGAAAACTGGATCATATTCATATTACACATGGAGAAACCATAAAAACCAACTATGCAGCTACACCCTTTGCCTTGGTTCAAACCCAAGTTGAACTATCATATTCAACAGTCTTAAACACTGCCATTGATGAGGTATTACTTATTCGCAATTTATAAATAAAGAGATATGGCAATAAAATTCAAAGAAGAAAATCCTATCTTTGTAATTATATTTTCATATTTCCATTTACAACAAACATATGTACAAATACAATATTTCTTGACAAAGAATGTGAATTTAATAGTAATTCATATGTTAATGGCAGATATCAAGACAATAACATAAATCTTTTTTTAACCTTTTAACTGTCATGCCTGAAATAATCTCAGACACAGCACTGGTATTCCAAAATGTCATGAATGAATATTACTTGGGCTTTTTTTTTTTTTTTTTTTGCATCATATTGTTATACCCGAATATATATCGTGAGAAGTTTATTTCGGCTTCGTTTCAAAAGACGGCAGCACTTCACTGAAGGTTTTAAAGGATAAAGTTCAAAGTGCACAGCATTTTTTTAATTTTTAGATTGAGAGGCAAACACTCCATTTTTGGAATAAAAAAAAATTGACAATTTATGTACACAAATCTTCAAAATAACTTGACAGTTAAAAGTTTAAGCACTTAATTTAAAATATCTGGAATCATTAAAGTTTGTACTTTTATATTTAATAAATACTATGACTCATGAATATAATATGTACATAACAAATGCTAATTTGAATTTATAGTTATTTTTTCATTCAAATTATTTTATAAATTTTTACAGAATTAAAACAATTTGTCTTGCAAATACTCAATTTCCTAAGTTAACTTTGGTTAGTCTATATTTTAAGGTGCCCCTTGGATTATCACCAAGTTGTTTCATTTATCGCCAATTTGTTTCACTTATGGTAACCTGAGTAGTTGAATGCTATGGAAACCCTATTATGACATGATTGGTTGTGTGATTGCGGTGAATTAGACTGATGGGAAAATATTTGTAAGGGCTTATTTCTGCATTGGATGTCAGGAAGCACATTGCTTATTTTATACTGTACACCGTAAAATGGCTATATGTGATGAAATTAATCTGAAGTTTCTGTAAGATTTGGAACGAAAGGGTGTAAAAGTACTTGTGTGTAAAAGAAGGTTTACTTAGAAGTCATTATAAGTGTCCTGCTTGTACGAAAGAAATGAGTATAGCTGAATGTAAAGATCATTCAGATGGCTTTGAATGGGTGTGTCACAAGAAATGCCACTGACAGTCCGGCAGTACGAAGGATATTTTTTATTCTTATTTTTATGAATTTATTGTAGTGACGGCAGTATGCATGTTCTAGTTCAGATAATTTTAGAAAGTTTTTTGATACTGTTAAGGAATTTTGTGTGCCACAGACATTACTAAATATGGCAGGTCAATATTTCCCTTTTGCAGTGCATATATGCAATAACATGTATTTCCTTTTTTTTTCTGCTATTTCATTCTGTGATGCAGTTTACTGAGCTTCAATTGTGTACAGATTTTGTTCAATTTTGGTGATGAATAACTTTGTTTCAACATTATATGACATCCTCATTCTCCTAATTTTTTTTAAAGTGAAAATAAATCAATGTGTACATGGACAAAGTCAAGGGAGTGCACAATGTGGATTTTGTGCAATTCTCTGATGTTTTTTAAGTGAAAATAGATCAATGTGTACATGGACACTGAGTTTGTGCAATTCTTTGACTTGTTATTTTGGTTTTTGTGCAACTGCCATCTTGAAATTGTGCCTTGCTGGTCAATCACCAAGGGGCCACCTGAAATACATTTTTACCTTCACTTTTTTTGACAATAAATTATAATCTTAAAAAACAGAATAGAACATCTGATTTTTCACTATTTTTTTAGAACAGATAAAACTGTTATTCCATGAAATATAATCTAATATTTTTCACCACTATAAATCTCTAAAACTAAACATTACACATACAGTTGAGAAATTATTTTATACTACAAAGAAACCATATATTTAATTAAAATATAACAATAATTTATTCTGAAGACTTTCAGATTAATGTCCTTGGTCTTTTTTTTTAAAAAAAAAAAGCATTAAAAAGTTTTAAAAATTAATTCTTATATACCATAAAAAGTACCAACAATTATACCAGTTATATAGAAAATTAAAACATCTTTTTATTAATTGCAACAAAGATGTAAATTATTGGAGAAGTTGAACAACAAGAATCAGCGTAATGTTTGTAAATTTTGTAGGACTAGTTTCGATCGTTTAAATACAGAACTAGCATCTTCAGCTGCTTAAGTGCAAATGAACGAGATAGAATATGGTAACAAGATAAGAATGACTGGAAAGATGTCAAGCTACTGGCACCATCTATTGATGAAATAAGAAAACTAAAACATAATTTCCTTAAAGGCTGAGGGTAAAAATGGATTGGAATTAGGGTCATTAACTAGAACTGAAAGTTTTTTTTTTTTTTTTTTTTTTTTTTTTATGTGAAATGCCTCTAGAAAATCTCGTTCACCAATGGAAGATTTATTTTTAATAATTTTGGTTGCAAAAAATGGAAAGTGTAACTTTCTGACCAACAGTGCTGGGCAATACATAATTTCCGTTTTCTTTTTTCTAACATGTGCCTCATATTCTTTAACATGAAGTTTTAAGGCTCTCTTAGTTTGACCAATGTAAATTAAACCATATTGGCTAGGAATCCTGAGAATTTATTTATTCAGGATTTAGATAAGACTTAAGCATGTACAAGAAATAGACATGAGTATAATAAATAACTTTGTCTCAGAGTGCGATACAAGCAAGGTAAAATTCAGCAGAGCAACTTGTCTTAAGTCACCAATCTTATGATACATAGCCAAATGTGTATAGTGAACGATAGCTAAATTTTATGATCATACCTGCGAATTTTAAAGGTATTCAGATATTGGAAACCAAAGGTGAAATTTTTGAATTAAAGGATTTTGTAAAGAAATGTGGAGAAGTGGTAATAAATGAAGATAATACAGTACAAAGTCCGAGATCTGGAAATCCAATATCTGGAATGATCTAAAATCCGGACCTCAAAACCACCAACAACTTTTTTTAATGCTTTATGCATGAGCATTTAATTTTTTCTCCATAAATAAAACATGTCGAGAATTCTGATTCTTAATTTCCCTTCGGCACTAAATAAATACTTCTTTATTGAAGAAACAATAATTTAGCATAAATTTGTGCAATCAATAATCTGGCTTCACAGCTGTGTACCTGCTTGGCATACATCTCAAACTGAAACATTCTAGATTTTATATTCCTGACATCAACCTGGCGAACCAATTGCTTTCATCACAGCATGTTTGTCAATACATGACAACTTGAGTAATGACTCATGCAGCAATGCCTAAATGTTTTTAAATATTACACAACATATTAATAAACAAAGAGTATGGTAACCTTTTATGTTGACATTACGCTTGGCAATGATAACAGATTTAAGTTAAATGTGCTACAAAATATTGATAAGAAAAAATTTAACAAAAATTTCTTTCCATATGCTAAAAATAAATTTTGTTAATGGTACTTAGACCAAAAGATAAGATTACATTTAGTGCTAATTGAATTAAAAATAACTGATTTGTTTTTCACATAAACACAGATCTGGCAGCAGAATTTAGAGAAGACAAGATTTTTGGAATTTGGAGGAGCACTGACCAAGAAAATTAAGGGATGAAAATACCTTTGGAATTTAGGGAAAGCACTGGGATCCAAAATTTAGAACTTAGGGAGGCGCTTAGTAGCAGAATTTAGGATCCGCAGAGACTGCATCAAGTGGTAAGATATGTAGCACCGCCCCTCGATAAGCCTTAAATATATGTGAGAATTTATTTATTCAAGAGTCAGATAAGTCTTAAGCATGTGCAAGAAATAGATGTTAGTACAGTCAAAAGTCGTTAATTCGGACACCCATAATCTGGACTTCAAAGCTACAAACTTTCTGCGCATGCGTCGCTCTGACGCACGCGCAGAAAGACTTAACTTTTACGGCTGACTTTTATGATGTAAGACTTTTACAG